CTTGCCTTGCATGCCTGAGGCCCTGGGTTCGATTCCTCAGCACCACATAAGCAAAAAAGAAAAAAGCCGGAAGTGGCGCTGTGGCTCAAGTGGTAGAGCGCTAGCCTTGAGCTGAAGAGCTGAGGGACAGCGCCCAGGCCCAGAGTTCAGGCCCCACGACCGGACCCCCCAAAAAACAAAAAAAACCCAAAAAAACAAAATGAAGGAGAAATTAAGAGGAAGTTAACATCTTGGCCACAACTTCAGCCTTAGATGCAAGTTACCTCCTTATTTGTGCCATGTTTCTTCTGATGTAGTATGCCTTTTGGTGCCAGCCTAATGGATTGGTATTCATGAAAGGCTTTTAGTCTGTGTATGTCTTATTTATATGCTCATTTTCCTTTGTCTTCCAGCCTGTTCCTCTTGTTCATCTGTCATGAATACCAATCTCTGATCTGTATCTCTAGCTCAGGGTAGGTCTTGATCCTTTCTTTCCTAAGAACTGCATGGGGGCTGAACTCGGCCTAGGTGCTGTCCCTCAGCTCTTCAGCTCAAGGCTAGCACTCTACCACTTGAGCCACAGCGCCACTTCTGGCTTTTTTCTTTTTGCTTATGTGGTGCTGAGGAATGGAACCAGGGCCTCATGCGTGCGAGGCAAGCACTCTACACTGAGCCAACTTCCCAGCCCTATCTTGTTCTCTTTTAATGGATCATCTTTCTACGTTACATTTTTCTTTTTCTTTTTTCTTTTTTTTCTGATTGTGGGGCCTGAACTCTGGGCCTGGGTGCTGTCCCTCAGCTCTTCAGCTCAAGGCTAGCGCTCTACCACTTGAGCCACAGCTCCACTTCCGGCTTTTTTCTTTTTGCTTATGTGGTGCTGAGGAATCGTACCCAGGGCCTCATGTGTACAAGGCAAGTGCTCTACCACTGAGCCACCTTCCCAGCCTCTATGTTACATTTTTCTTTCCATGTCTCCTCCTAATATTTCATTTCTTGTTTTTCCTCTTTCCCACTCTGTCTCTTTCAACCGTCTGTCCCTGATACAGAAATGAAGTGTGGTCCTTGAGGATAGAGTTTCCTTTATTAGGATTCTTTCAGTCAGTGAATGGATGGAGTTGTCTTTCAGTTCTGTACTTCAGTGTGAAGCTATTTCACGTGTGCCTTTCAATCATGTTTATTTTCCTATATTGGAAGCCTATGTATCTTATAGAAAGCATTTGAGAATTCTCAAATATTTCATGGGTAAATATGGTATTTAAGTGGGGAAAGCAGGAAGAAGTCATAGGGAGAGTTCCTGTATCTTGTCTCCTAAATGGGGCTTAGAATAATGGGAGAGAGGGGACCAAATAGAAGAATCTCTCATCCCTGCCAACATGAGCATTTTATAAATTCCATGTTCATGGAGAGAGACTGAATTTGGTATATGAGTCTTAACTTAGCATCTAGTTACCCAAGTTTCACTCTTGAACCACACAGGAGCAGCTATTTAAACTCCTTACATTCTAATATTGTAGCAGTAGTGAAATCTCCCTGCAACATGACTTAAGAAATCCCAGTTAGCCGGGCGCTGGTGGCTCATGCCTGTAATCCTAGCTGCTTAGGAGGCTGAGATCTGAGGATCGCGGTTCAAAGCCAGCCCAGGCAGGAGAGACCGTGAGACTCCTATCTCCAATAAACCACCAGAAAACCGGAAGTGGCGCTGTACCTCAAGTGGTAGAGCGCTCGCCTTGAGCTGAAGAGCTGAGGGACAGCACCCAGGCCCAGAGTTCAAGCCCCACGACCGACAAAAAAAAAAAAAAAGAAATCCCCGTTCTACCTTGAGCCTTGTCATCCATTGATGACAAGTGGCTCTCCTTCTGCACTTAGGGTTCTTCATCTGCAAACTGAAGTTCAGTCTACCTCTCCATTATTTTGAAAATTAAGTTCAGTGACATGGTTTGAAACAATATAGTTATAAATAAATGTGCAATGGTGTTAATAGCAGCATCAGAGCATACACACTCCAACCCACACATTTATACTTGCAAGGAAACAACTAGGAACAGTGGTTAATTAATACGAAACTACATCCTGAAGGGGTCTCTCAGCTTATCAAGTGTGAGGACAATATAATCATTAAGCACACTAAAGTACTACTGAGTTCAAATTCAAGCTCTCTCACCAACAATTTGACTTGGGGCAATTTTTCATTTTTTCTGGTCTGGTTCTCTCTCTCTCTCTCTCTCTCTCACACACACACACACCACGGAGGTTAACAAGTTTGTGATGATACATGTTAAGTGTTTGATATAGTGCCTAGTACATAGTAGGTTCTGAAGAAATAGTACATTCCAAAATATTTATTGAACTTTGGAATGTTGTCCAATCTAATTGGGATACAAATGCAAGTAAATACTTTTTTGTTTCAAAAGACTCAACTCATCAGGTATGGTGGTACACACCTTTTTAATTCTGGCACCTAGGAGACTGAGGCAGAAGTTCCAGAATAGCCTGGGCTACATAACAAGACTGACTTGGGGAACAAAAAAACAACAAATAAAGCTAAGTTTAGTGGGGAAACATATGAATAAAACCCAACATGCTTACTACTCAAATGCAAAGGCAGTTTAGAAAATGAATTTATAAATCCACCTAGACGAGATATAGAAACCTTCTTAGAGGAGGAAATACTTGACTCCAGATTTTAAAGGGGTTGGGGATTGGAGGTTGAGGGTAATAGCTCAGTGGTGAAGTGGATACCTATTATATGCAATCCCTGGGTTAGCTATCCAGCATTGGGGGGGAAACTTTTGAGGGATATGTAGAAATTTTTCTAATGTATGGTACTACTCTGCCTCCTTAGAGTTTAGTGCTTTGACTTTATCATTTGCCCACAGGGGTTTGATTACTTGAAAAGCCAAGATTCAGGTTTATACTTGTTAGCTCTATGGTGAGTCAACTTAAACATTCTGGTGACTTCATTGATTATCATGTTGAGAACTGATCTTACTTGCTGTTTTTATACATGAAACATCTTTCATTTTCATTTCATAAAAGACTCCTTAAGAACTGTACAAACAGCTCTCTGGTGTGGAGGACTGGTTGGTTTCCCACCACTTGAAATTATTAGCATATTTGTTGCATGCTGCTGATCTCTGTGCTTTGGAAGTGATGGAGTACTAGTAACCATTTGTCACTCTTTGGAAAAGCCCAATGGAAGTGACTAGGATCCATACGGAGGGAATAGGGAGTCAAATGCAGGAAGATTTGCTTTTTGGAGAGAATGGCAAGTCTACAGATAGCTATCATTTGTCCATGTGTAGAATATAAAAATTCAGAAAGCCTCCTATCCAGTCCAAATGGACATGAATTTCTCATTTTATCAAGCATGTTATCTGGGAATTGGGGAGTTAGAAATGTCCTAAATGGATGAAACTTCAGACTATTTTGGCTTTTTGCTACCTTAATATTGGCTAAGTCCCTATGTTAACATGTAGGAGGATGTTAAAAGCTGCGTTCACCCCAAAAGATCACAGCCTAATTAATAATAATAACAATAATAAAGGAAAATTATCTTTTGAACTTCAGAAACATTCTCAACTAAATAATTAAATACAAATTGAAACAAAAGTTGTGTTCTCTCCATATAGCTTTTATACCAGTACCTGCCACGTTATTTGTTTTTTACTGGTGTCAAATTTTATAGAGGTTGGAGAATGGACAAATTTAGAACTGGAAGAGCCTTGAAGAGTTTGTTATCCAGCCTCCTCCTCAATTCACAAATGAGGAAATATTGGCCCAAGATGGCTGAGTCCAGCTACTCCAGACAAAACCTTTGAGTAGGACTTGAGTCAGCTTTTTGCATGCTGGTGATTTGAAGAGACCAGTAGTACCTTTTGATGGTAGTAGGTATACATGAGTTGTTTTTTTCTTTAATTATTTTTGTCGGTTGTGGGGCTTGAACTCTGGGCTTGGGCACTGTCCCTCAGCTCTTCAGCTCAAGGCTAGGGCTCTACCACTTTGAGCCACTGCGCCACTTGCTGTTTTCTTATGATTCACTGGAGATAACAGTCTCATGGACTTACTTGCTTAGGCTGGCTTTGACCTGCGATCCTCAGATCTCAGCCTCCTGAGTAGCTAGGATTACAGGCATGAGCCACAGGCACCCTGCTATGAGTTGTATCTTGCATCTACATTAGTTAGGCGAGGAAGAAGCTGAGAGAGAAACCAGTCCGACTGAAATTACTGTACTGGCCGTGTGATTGATGCTAAGTGGAAATGAAGTAGTTTCCAGTTCATCCAAGTTTAGGGAGTCTGGCCAGAGAACTTGTCAACAAGGCGAGACACCGAGTACTTTCTAGACCCAAAGCTAAGAGACAAGAAGGTGCACACAGTATGGAGGGAGAACTGCTGGAATCTGGACAGAAATTTGTGCTTTCTGGAGAGACTGCAGGAGTTGGTGGGTGTGGAGGAGGCATCTTGGACAGGCAGGAAGACCATTCCTGAGGTCTCCTATCTGGAAGCAATACGTTAGGCAGATGGGGCCAGACGGGCAGCCAGCACAAGCCCACCTGTCCACTTCTTCCCTGGTTCATGGCGAGAAGGCGCCGCGAGCATGAGCAGTGCTGAGCACCAAGGGTCCGCCCCACCTTAGCTGAGGGGTCTGGTAGGAGCAGCCCTGACCCCAGCTAGCAGCCCCCTTCGCCCAGGGTGTGGCAGAGGGGAGGGGTCCGCGGTGACGGAACAGAAGTCTTGGGAGCCCCGGCCCTCTGGCCTCGGCCTCGACCTACGCGCAGCGCCCACCAACCCGGGCAGAACCGGCGGAGGAACCCCGGGAGCCCTCGGAGTCAGGGGCGGCCGCGGCGAGACTCCGCCCCGGCCGGCGGGCCCGCGCCTATCAAGGCGGGCGCGCCTGGTCACGCGGGGGAGCCGCGGGCGGGCGGCCAGGGCCCCGCGGTGCCGAGTCGCTGGGGCCGAGCCGGGCCGGGGCGGGGCGGAGGTTAGAAATAGGGACGGGCGGGCCGCGCCCGTCGCCCGTCGCCGTGCGGTGCGGAGCCGACCTGAGCCACGCCGAGCGGCGCCAAGCGAGGCGGCCGGACCTGGAGCACCCATGCTGCTGACGCTGGCCTCGGGCTCGCTCTTCTTCCCGGGGCTCTTCGCGCTCAGCACCTGGGCGCTACGCCGCTCGCGGCCCGAATGGACCTTCTCCGACTGCGTGATGATCGGTACCAGGTACCGCGCGCGGCCGCGCTCCCGCTCGGGGCCAGGCGCGGCTGTCTCCGTCCCGCCGCCCGTGCGGCCGCCCGGGGCCCAGGCCTGCGCTGGGCTGAGGGCGGAAAAGGGGGGCGACAGGAAGCGAGGGGGCCGCCTCCCTGGTCTCCCAGCCCCTCTCGGCCGTGCTACGGCCAGAGCTTCCCAGAGACCCTTGGCGTGGAGGAACGAGGGACGGGGTGGGGGGGGGGGCGGCGGGGGGAGGGTGCTGGAGAGGCAGGATGGGGAGGAAAGGGCGTGTGCATCTTCCCGAGCCTGCACCCTACTTGTGCCAGCTGCTCCGGGGTCGGGGCGGGGCAGCCTCCCTACTCACTTTCCTGGGTTCGATGGAGTCAGGTTCAAATCGGCTTTGTGCTGTCCGCAGTCCTGCACTGAGCGCCCTCTTTCCTTTTTCTGTCCACGTTAGGGTGGTTTCTTCAGTGCAGGCTGTGCTGGCCACCGGGTCAGGGATCCTTATCGTCCGCTCCTGCAGCAACGTGATCTCAGACAGGTAACATCCCATCCCTGGTGGAAGAAATACAAATAACAGGGCTGAGGAGCTTTTTTGAAGGTTTCGCATATTAGCGGCTCACAGGTACTACTAGTTCCTTCTCGTGCTGTTAGGTAAAAGACTGATAATTGGGGGAAACTTAGGCATCCTCAGCAGTGGCTTCCTTTGTCCCTTGCTGCTTTTAAGCACCACCAGATTAGGAGAAAGGAAAGTGAAGAGATGCTAGAGAGCAGGCCTGTGAGTCTGCCTTAGGGTGGTGGTGCAAGGCTGATCCAAATTCAGGGGATGGGGAGGGGAGGGGGTACTGGATCTTGACCTGGGGCCTAGGCTTTAGCTTTTTTTTAAATCATGGTTTGTGCTCTACCAATTGAACCACAGCTCCACTTTCAGCTTTTTGGTGGTTAATTATAGATAAGAGTCTCATGGATTTTCCTACCTGGGCTGGCTTTGAACCTCTATCTGTCTCAGATTTCAGCCTCCTGAGAATTATTTTCATGAGGCACTGGCACCTGGCTTCAGGTTCTTTATAAGTGTGAAATTTTATTTACAACTGGGAGTAGGGATTTTCTTTCTTGTAATGTTATCACTCTGGAACATTCACTAGCAGAGATATGTACAGTGTAATTATAGCAGGAGCCCAGCCCTCTTTGATCAGAGCCACTCTGTCCCCTTTTTCCTGCTCCTGTTTGTCCTTTGGCTTTGCTAAACCTCTTAAGAGGTTTCTTGTGCCTTCAGAAAACTGACTGGTATGTGTATTAGAGCTCAGGACAGAAGCAGGTTAGGAAATGTGCATCTGTCTGCAGGTTTAGTGCAAGAAATTAAGAGAAAAATGTTCTGTTTTGTTTAATATTTACAACTTAGTGGTGTTGACATTTTTATTTTTCATTTTATTTATTTATTTTGGTCTGTCATGGGGCTTGAACTCTGGGCCTGAGTGCTGTCCCTCAGCTCTTCAGCTCAAGGTGAGTGTTCTACCACTTGAGCTACAGCACCACTTCCGGTTTTCTGGTGGTTTATTGGAGATAAAGAGTTTCACAGACTTTCCTGCCCTGGCTGACTTTGAACCTTTATCCTCAGATCTCAACCTCCTGAGTAGCTAGGATTACAGGCGTGAGCCACTGGCACCCGGTGGCATTTTTATTTTTGTCATTTTTTTCCTAACATATTTGAACTACTCTTACCTTCCAGGTGATAGATATGCAGATAAAGTTGAGCAGCCTTTTTTTAACTCTTACGTCAATTCTGCCATGTCCTGCTTCTCACTGTTAAGATAGGAGTAAGGAGAGCCTCATTAGGGTGCCTGTCGCATTATAGTGTGTTGCCACTATCTGTATGCTTATGTCTCTGTAAATCTGTCTTATAACTATCGGGCTTAAGAGAAGATGGGCTTAGTGACTTTGATTGCATAAACCAAAGGCTAACAGCACTTACATGGCTGGGTTCAATTTTCATTTCATTTATTTATTTATACAGTACTAGGAACTGATTTCTGGGCCCCTGCTCTCTACAGTGTGAGCCACTTCCCAGTCCCAAGTATTGTGTGTATGCGCGCACGTGCTCATTCACGCACATATGTGCCTGTCCTGGGACTTGAACTCAGGTACTGGACACTGTACCTGAACTTTCTAGCTCAAAACTAGTACTCTACCATTTGAACCACGGTTCCACTTGTGGCTTTTTGGTGGCTATTTGGAGGTAAGAGTATTATTGACTTACCCATGCTGGCTTTGAACCAATATCCTCAGTTCTCAGCCTCCTGAATAGCAAGGATTATAGGGATGAATCACCTGCACCCAGCTCAAATTTTATTTTAATTGAACATTTCTGACCCTGCAGTGAGCTCTCTCACTATGCAGTGTGTTAGATTAAACTTGGAACCATCTTCTGCTAAGAGGAAATGAAGACAAATGTGACCCCACAGCCCTAGTTTGAGTTAATGAGGCAAACCCTGAGCATCTGCTCTGCATTTCAGGACAAGATGTTCAGACATGGTTAACTTACAGTTCATAACATCATGGTTGTTTTTGTCCTCAGAACCTGGGTGTTTTAGTGGCTTGAGGTAGGGGCTGGGGTAGCAAACCTGTTTGACCTTCAGATTCCTTCTTCCATGTATCTTCATATCTTATATCATTTGGTTGCAAAGCAGAGATAGATATCACATTTCTGTTCTACCTATGCATGGGTCTACAGAGATACACAAAGAGCACCTAGGGACTTTCAGATGGCACACCCAAATATTTTTCTATTACGTGCCTTCCTATTTTATACTTAAAATAGAATATACAGATGGGAGGGGATATGTATAAATTACCCAGATTTTAGGATGAACATGGTAGAGGGCCAAGGATTTCATTAGCTTCTTCTAGTGGTACAGACACTTAAGTCATAGCTCTAGGCAGTTTCCTTAATTGAAGCATTTATATTTAGATAGTACTTCTTATAATTTAAAAGTACTTTCATCCTTTCAGGGCTTTTTGTTTGTTTGTGCCAATACAGGGCTTAAACTCAGGGCCTCAAGCTCTTGCATCTTTTTCTACCCAAGGCTAGCACTCTACCACTTGAGCCACACCTCCACTTCTAGCATTTTTTTTTTTGTGTGTGTGTGTGTGTGTGCTGGTCCTGGTGCTTGGACACTGGGCCTGGGCACTGTTCCTGAGCTTCTAGTGCTCAAGGCTAACACTCTGCTGTAGAGCCACAAAATCACTTCTGGTTTTTCTGAGTAGTTTATTGGAGATGAGTTTCATGGGCCTTCTTGCCCTGGTTGGCTTTGAACCATGATCCTCAGATCTTAGCCTCCTGAGTAGCTAGGATTACGGGCATCTGCCAGTGGTACCCAGTTTGCTTCTGGCTTTTTATTGGCTAATTGAAGATGTGTCTCATGGACTTTTCTGTTTGCACTGCCTTCAAACTGAGGTCCTTAGATCTCAGCCTCCTGAGTAGGTAGGATTACAAGCATGAACCACCAGCATCAGTACCTGGCCTTTCAGGTTTTTGGTTTTGTTTCTTCTCTATAGCATGTGTACAGCAGATGCTATACCAGTGAACCATGCCTCCTGCCTTTTAGGTTTTTTTTGTCAGTCATGGGTCTTGAACTCTGGGCCTGGTCACTGTCCCTCAGCCCATCAGCTCAAGGCAAGTGCTCTACCACTTGAGCCACAGTGCCACTTTCCTAGTTTTAGTTTTTTAACTCTCACAATAACTGTCAGGAAAGTAAAACAAGGATTAGTGTCTTTAAGTAGTTAAGTCATAGACTATTACTAGTTAACACTGTAATCTAGATTTCTTACTAATAAACCTTTTGAAAATTCTACCCAAGAGTCACTAATTTTAGATTTTACTGAATTGGTACTGGGTACAAAATAGTTAAACCCTAGGTTCCACTCTAGAGGAGTGGCCAGTATATTTCAGCCAATCATTTAGTAGCTCTTTGCTGTTAGTTTATTTGGAATTACTTTAAGAAAGCAATTAAGACCTTAACTAGTCAAATGGGACTAGGCTAATTAATAACTACTAGTGTGGCTGGGTGCCCATGGCTCACACCTGTAATCCTAACTACTCAGGAGGCTGTGATCTGAGGATTGTGGTCAAAGCCAGTCTGGACAGAAAAGTCATGAGACTCTTATCTCCAGAAAACCGGAAGTGGCACTGTGGCTCAAGTAGTAGAGCACTCGCCTTGAGCTGAAGAGCTCAGGGACAGCACCCAGGCCCAGAGTTCAAGCCCCACGACTGGCCAAAAAAGAAAAAACATAGGGGCTGGGAAGGTGGCTCAGTGGTAGAGTGCTTGCCTAACATGCATGAGGCCCTGAGTTCGATTCCTCAGCACCACATAAGCAGAAAAAGCCAGAAGTGGCGCTGTGGCTCAAGTGGTAGAGTGCTAGCCTTGAGTTGAAGAGCTGAGGGACATTGCCCAGGTCCAGAGTTCAGGCCCCAGGACCAGCAAAAATAATAATAATAATAATAATAATAACAATAATAATCACAAATGTATTCAATGTGCATTGCTATTTGTTTGCCTCTGCTTCATTGTATATTGTGTAGCTATGTTGTGGTGAGGGTGGAGTTATTCAGGAACAAAAACTCCAGTGATACCTACTGTATTCCCAGTGTTGCCTGCCTCCTTAGATCACTGGGTAAAGCCAGAGTGCAGATTTGAGGCCCTAGGCATTCACTTTAGAATCCCAGAGAAGTGGATCTTTCACAAGCACGGTGGGTGATTTCCTTGGTGAGGTAGTTTGAGAACTATAAAATTAGTTTCCTCTACCTAATATATGGAAGTTCCATAAAAATTTACATTGGGAATCTAAAGCTTCCCAGCATAGTACATAATTTCAATTTAGCTGTTTCTTTATATAATAGATGTTTAGTTTTTGGGAAGGATGTGTATTATCTTCATAGACATCCTAATCTAGTGTAGGTCAATCAATAATGTATCATTTTGACTCAGCAAGTCTTGATTCAATTGCATTCATAATTGCTAACTCTTGTCCCAGGCAGTCTCCTATCTAGTTGCTATAATGTGATTCTTGAACTTCAGGTTCATCATCAGAAATATTTTTCTTAACAAAAGAAATTGAGGTTAGCTGTAGTATGTGAAGAAAGTGGCCAGGCCTGCTTCTCAGAAACTACCTGGAGTGGGGTTGTGTACAGATGCAGAAGAAAGCTCATGCATTCAAGAGTTTAGTTAGTAAGTTCCCAACTGTTGAGCAATTGAGGAGCTAAACTGGAAAGATTGGATTTGTATTTGGAACACCTTCTAACTAATTTCTTGGTGGGGCTGTTGAGTTATTTATAAACTTACCTCCCCATCAAAGTCACCTTATATCACAAAACGCTAAAAATGTATTAGAGATGAAATTTTCATAGCAACTACTTAAAAAGACAGGAACAGTGAATTCCTTTCTGCCTTTCACACACATGAATTCGCCTTGTAATTTAGATAAAGTTGTCCATTTTTCTTTCAGTCCCAGCATCTTCATTGTGAAAAGTTTGGGGTCAAGAACTGATTAACTACAACACTGAGGGGAATGTGTTTGAGAAGGAATTGGGTTTTAGCTTTCATAATTGATAACCAAAAGCATTTCATGGACCATTCCTATGCTTTTTTTCAGGCACTGGCTTGCCCGAGAATATGTCTGGTTTCTAATTCCATACATGGTTTATGACATTTGGGCCATGTACCTTTGTGAGTGGTGCCGAACCAGCGACCAGAACCTCAGATGCACACTCATTTTTCGAAACTTCCTGAGTCAAAACCGCCTCATGATCACTCACCATGTAGTAATTCTGTTAATCTTGGTGCCAGTTGCACAGGTATGGCCTTGCAAGACAGTGGTCTTGGTCACGCGTTTTCTCCTGGTTATCTGCATGTGTTGGCCTTTATTTAGGAGTCAAGTACCCCACTCCCTCCCTGTTTTTACTGTACTCTCCTGTACCAGGTGCCTCAGCAGTTCAGTCCCCCTGCAAATAATGGAGGAAAATCATCACATGCGTGACATTCTTGATCCTTCTTATCAACAATTTTTAGCAATCCTCTGGTTTTGTGATTCCTTAACATTTGTCAAAGGTTGTCTTTAGTTCAATATAATGTAAAATATAAAATACAACTAGAATGTGAAACACTGTGACACTGCCAGAGAGTACTGTTGAGTGTACTGTCTAGTATTCACAAAAACACTCTCAAAGCACATAACTCATAATTCTCTCTAGATCAATTTGCCCATTAAAAATCCTCCCACAGGGCTAGGAAGGTGGCTCAGTGGTAGAGTGCTTACCTTGCATGCATGAGGTCCTGTGTTCGATTCCTCAGCACCACATAAGAAGAAAAGGCTGGAAGTGGCATTGTGGCTCAAGTGGTAGAGACTACCCTTGAGCTGAAGAGCTGAGGGACAGTGCCCAGGCCCAGAGTTCAGGCCCCAGGACAGGAAAAAAAAAAAAAAAAATCCACAGCCCGGCGCTGGTAGCTTATGCTATAATCCTAGCTACTCAAGAGGCTGAGATCTAAGGATCCCAGTTCAAAGCCAGCCAGAGCAGGAAAGTCCGTAAGACTCTCCAGTTAACTACCAGAAAACTGGAAGTGGCGCTGTGGCTCAAAGTGGTAGAGTACTAGCCTTGAGCAAAAAAACTCAGGAACAGTGCCCAGGCCTGGAGTCAAAGCCCCACTACTGACAAACAAACAAACAAAACACCCACAGTTGGGCACAGTTTGTTCAAGCTTGTAATTCTAGCTACCTGAGATCAGAGGATTCTATGGTTTGAAGTCAATCCAGGCAGAAAAATCTCTAACTAGCAAAATGCCAGACTAGAGGCATGACTCAAGTGGTAGAGCACCAGCCTTGAACAGAAAGTCAAAAAAAAGCACAAGGCCCTGAGTTCAAAGTACCAGCACAAAACCAAACTAGTAACATGTATTAAAGAAGAAACATGGTGACACAGAAAGGAAAATGGTAATTTCCTTGATTTAAAAGCTCATAGATTGGTAAATATTAGAAATTATTAGCCATGTGGCATAGATGAAGAAATGGGAACTCTGAGGGCTTACTTACCTCCCATAGTAGTACTGAGTGACTGTGACTATGCTAGATTGCTTTCTTGGAAAGGAAAAAGAAGAGGTAGGCCTCATTCCATCTTTTAAAGAATCTTTCCTGATTGTGCATACTTTGTTGAGCTGAACAGGATCAGTGCCCTGGCATGACTGAGATACAGGAAAGGCCGTAGAGTTCCTTCAAGCTGTCATTGAAATTCAGATAAAGTTTGGTATGTGATGCAATGAGCTATACCTGCCTTTGCCTCTAGAGCTTGAGGATTAGACCATCAATGTGCTGTTGCCATGGAAGCAGCAGAATATGAACTGTATCCTGTAAATGTTATCCTCTCCCATCGTAGCCTCTCTCCTGGTTACCCTTTTCAATAGCCCTAGTTAGAATTTTTCTTTAGTGGAAGGTTTCTTTACCTTTTTTCTAGCTGGATGCCGGTGGCTCATGCCTGGAATCCTAGCTACTCAGGTGGCTGAGATCTAAGGATCTTAGTTCAAAGCCAGTCCAGACAGACAAATCTGGGAGACTTTTATCTCAAATTAACCAGCAAAAAGTAGAGGTGTGGCTCATGTCATAGAACACAGGCTCTGAGCAAAAGTAGGTAAGCAAAAGCACTAGGCCCTGAGTTCAAGCCCCAGTACCAGCACAAAAGAAAACTAATAAATTAACCTTTTCCTTTTTTTGTTCTCTTCCCTTTACTCATCTGCAGAAGCTCCGGGGAGACCTTGGGGACTTCTTTGTTGGCTGCATCTTCACAGCAGAACTGAGCACTCCATTTGTATCATTGGGCAGAATTCTGATTCAGGCATGTATCCATGAAGTGGCAAAAATAGGACAGAAGGGAATAGACTATTTTTCCTTTGGAGATTATGAGGTTTGGAGGAATTCCCTAATGCTAGGAATAGAATATAAAACTATTCCATGGACTTAGTTCGTTATCTAAGCCAGTGGGGATGAAACCCAGGTTTTATATAGATGGTAGTATTTTTTTCCCCTAGTACCAGATCTTTTGCTTCCAATCAATTGCTTCTATCAGGTGGGTGGCTTAGCCCAAATTCAACATCACTATTGGAAAAACTATGAGACCATATGTGTGTAGAAATCCACAATGCCTTGTAATCATTTATGTAAGTACCAGAAAACTAGGTGCCTGTCTAGGTGTCAAGGAATGACAGCCAAGGAATGTGATTTGTACACAGATTTACCTGTCCTTTACTATTGTGACACTACCAGGATGTCCCATCCTTCTAGTGACCTTACATTCTCCTCCTCTTACAGCACAAGCAGCAGCATACCCTTCTCTTCAAGGTGAATGGAATCCTCACACTGGTTACGTTCCTTATTTGTCGGATCCTCCTTTTCCCCTTCATGTACTGGTCCTATGGCCAACAAATGGGACTAAGCCTGTTTCAAGTGCCATTCAATATCCCTTTCCACTGCAATGTGGCCAATGGCTTCCTCATGGCTCCCCAGATCTACTGGTTCTCTCTACTGTGTAAGAAGGCAGCTCGGCTCTTTGACCCTGCCCAAGCCAAAAAGAATGGTTAATTGCTCCCAGGAGGCAGGGTGCCTCCTCCTCTCAGTATTCCATGGACCAAATTGTGCCCTGGACGGCAGATGGATTTGATTTAAAAAAAAAAATTCTTAACCTCCCTTTTCTAACCTGTCCCTCTTGCAAAAGCACTTTTTTTTCTTGGTGACAGTTATTAGACCATGCCAGACTTCCTCTGGCAGCAGAGTAGTTCTTAGGCCTTATCTCAAGAGCACTGAGGTAAAAGCATGGAATGTAGAGGCTAGTGGACCAGGGCGAAGTGTGTCTCACCTAACTTTGGTGGCTACCCACCTTTCCAACACTCAGGGTACAATCCACAATACCAGGCCAGCAGAAGCGAGTGGTGACTTGGTTCTTGCAATAGTATCATCTTGTAGTGTTGGCCTGAGAAAATCATTGTGGATATATAGTTTTTGTTTACTAGATAGCCTGTTAATGGCTCCTGGCCTCATCATCGTCATCGTGTCAACAATGAACTCTCCTGTGTACTGACTTCCAATCAGAAGATCAGAAGGCAGAGCTGAGAACTTGAAGCACTTGAATAGGTCAGGAGGCCAGCAGAGGCCAGCACCTTTACAGCTGGATAACTTGCTAAAGAAAAAGACCAAATATCAAATCTGTGAGCTTATCACAGTCACAAACACTACTCCGTTTTTAGCACAACCTCATATCCAGCTTTCCCTATTTCCGTATCATAGGATGCTTTTGCAGAACTACAGGGGCAAGTAGCTATTCACTGAGTAACCCCACAGCTAATACTGTCTTTTACAAGCAAAATGGGAATGGATTTCTGCCCTCCCAACTGTGAGATGTCTATCCATGACACAAAGTACTTTTCCCAGAACCTCCTAAGCCAGGCCGATTCCTGTGTTGACTGCACTGCCATTTAGCCACAGAAGGCTGGCGAGCAAGAGGGCAGCTGGCTCCACCCAAAGCACGTCCCCAGGAGCAACGCCTTCCCCTATGTTTGCAAGTAGGATCCTTTGGTGCCAACACTAATCATTCCTTCCCCTGTGGGAAGGCTTTGAGACACTTTTACAAGTGGTAGTAAAAAAAGCTAGAATTTTAAAAGTGCCTTAAAACTCATTATCCATGAACTTTTAAAGGATTATACAATCATGTCTCAAATTTTGACTGTCTTTAATAGGTGCCATTTAAAAAAATATAAAATGCTTTGATTTTTTACCTTTTATTGTCAATGTATCTTTGTAAGTCATCCATGTTCATTAAATTGCACTAACTTTCCAACTTGTGAAATACATCAGCACTGACTTCCTGCAACAACCATCCAAGGTTGGCTAGGAATGTGGCTTAGTGGTAGAGTGCTTGTCTAGCATATGTGAAAGCCCTAGGTTTGATTCCTCAGTACCAGTACTACATAAACAGAAAAGGCCAGAAGTGGTGCTGTGGCTCAAGTGGTAGAGTACTAGCCTTGAACAAAGGAAGCTCACGGACAGTGCCCAAGCTCTGAGTTCAAGCCCCAGGACTGGCACAAAAAAAGAACCATCCTGTGACCCAGTGTGGCTGGCTGCCCTATGCTATAGTCTGGTCTGTTTATTCGCATAGTGGCATGCTAATACCTTCAGTCTCGCTCCTGCCTTATGTTAACTCTAGGTCCCAAGAATTCACTTAAGGTGCTAAATTAAGCTGGGCACTAGTGGCTCACGCCTGTAATCCTAGCTACTCAAGAGACAGATCTGAGGATCACAGTTCAAAGTCAGCCTGGGCAGGAAAGAGACTCATCTCCAATAAACCACTTAGAAAACTGGAAGTGGAGCTCTGGCTCAAGTGGTAGAGTGCTAGCCTTGAGCTGAAGAGCTGAGGGACAGCGCCCAGGCCCAGAGTTCAAGCCCCATGACCAAAAAAAAAAAAAAAAGTACTAAGTTCAAGCTCAGTGATCACAGGTCATTTTAGGTCTAGGTCTTATCATAGATGAGTCCCAGTTAGGCATTGGGAGGGTTGAAGCCTGATCCTGAGTCACAAAGCCAATTTACTTTGGGTGGGGAGTAAACCTGAGTAGCACCCCATTTTGAATGAGGGCGTGGAAATGTATAGTACATCTTTTCCCTCCCAAAATACACCTCCCCAACCAGTTCTTAACAGTCCTGTAATAACACTCATTCTGCTTTTGCACAGCCCATTGCGATCCCACTCAGCCCCAGGCAGAATGTAATCACACCCATCCTATAAGCACACATCCATTGTTCACCACCCCTGGAGTTAGTCCTATGTGGGCTGAGTAGTGTTAGGGTTGCCTGGCAGTCCTCCTCTCAGAACACACTCATGTTACTGGTGTTCTCTCCCCACCCAACAATTGTGTTTCTTGCTTCTATCCTCCTGTCCTACAAAGTATCCACTTCTCCAGTGTATAAGTCACAAGACCAATCAGCAGAACCTGGGCCCAAAGCTCTTTTTGGGAGTTGTTGCCCTTTCTGATTCCTTGTTAGAAAAAAAAAAAAAAGTTTAATACTGGAAGGACTGAAAGAACATACATCCTTTGTATATATGTATGCATGTATGTATATTTTTTAAAATTTTTTGTTGTTGGTCATGGGACTTGAACTCGGTTTGGATGCTGTCCCTCAGCTCTTCAGCTCAAGGCTAGTGCTCTTCCACTTGAGCACAGCACCACTTCTGGTTTTCTAGTGGTTTATTGGAGATAAGAATCTCACAGACTTTCCTGCCTGGGCTGGCTTTGGACCGTGATCTTCAGATCTCAGCCTCCTGAGTAGCTAGGATTATATGCGTGAGCCACTGTTGCCCTGTTTGAATAGTTCTCAGGCTCATTTGTCAAGGTCTAAGGCAGAGAATTTCATTTATGAACATGTTCTGCCCAGCTTTTTTCCCCCCTTTTGCTAGTACTGGGGTTTAAACACAAGACTTTCATACTTGTTTGCTTGGGTTGAACCATGCCTCCAGCCTAGCTTTTTGCTGGTTTCAGAAATAGTCTCATGGACTTTTCTTCCCTGGCTGGCTTCAAACCATCATCTGGATTTCAGACTTGACATTACAAGCATTAGCCAATGATGGCTCACTCCAGTTTGCTTATTTTCCATTTATTTTTGAGACAGTTCTGTGTAATCCAGGCTAGCTTCAAACTTATATCCTCCTGCCTCAGCCTCCCAAATGCTAAGATTCTAGGCATGAATTATGATGCCTGGCCTGTTTTAAAGACAACTTGGTATATTTGATACCAATTTATTGCTGAGAGAGACTCAAAAGAGAAGATAAATTCAAGAGAATTTTATTATAGTCTGTATGTTATAAATACCTAAGAAACTATTTTCTTTTACTGCTATTGCCATATACCTTCTAGCCTGTGTACAATTTCACAAAAAAGTTTGTTTCTCAACTCCAGTGTCCACAGAAGCACCATAGCGAAGCTATTTTTTGCCCCATAAAGATCAGAAGTTGCTGATCTTCTGCAACAGGGTTTGACGCCGTTCCTCAGGGCTAATATTCTCGGCAATAGACTTTAAGAAGCGCTGCTCATTTACCTTCTGGAGCAAGGAGCTAATAGAAGAGTTAGTCTTGCTTAGGGTTTCATAGCAGGTAAGTATTTCTAAGGCCAACACGTAGAGTGGTTCACAGACCTCTTGCGGGAGCATGGCCATGATGTGCAGAACATGACAGAACATCTGGGTATAAACGAACAGGGCTTCCTGAGTCAGGTCCTGGTCTTGCCCTTGGGCCCAGGGCCCCCCGGACTGTATCAACCTAACTGAGTCCAGGAGATTGGTCAGACTTCCACAGAGGAGTTTGACCACATGGCTCCAGCCTTCCATGGGAAGCCAGTTACGACAGCTCTGGCTGCAGAGAAACTGGAAAGCTCTCAGGAAGAGGACAGAGAGCTGGAGCTCCTGGGCAAAGGGCTTCAGGTTGAGCAGTGGAACAAACTGAATGTATTCCAGGGTGTAAGGGACATGGAGGAGCTGTTTCTCTAACAGTCTCCTGGTCAGCTGATGAAGGCACTGCCATTCCTGGGGGCTGCACCAGGGCATGACTTGCACCAGGGCCACCAGAAAGCCCTTGCTGAACAATCTGACTTCCTCAGGATTGCTCACATCTACCACCAGGACTGAGAGCATCTGCTCAGAGATGCTGCTGGAAATGTAGCAGCACTCCATCCATGCAAGCAGCCCTGTCCCAGGCCCGTAGCCAGGGTGGGCCTGGGAGGTCCACTCTGCCTCAGAAAGTTTACAGATCTCAAAAAGTGTGGCTGGCACTTCACATTTGAAGTGGCCCTCGAAGAAGTTCTTCAGTCTCAGGCCCACAGTCCAGTCTAGCTGCTCCAACTTTCGGTGGAGCCAAGACAGGGACTTGATCCAGGTGTCGGGGGAGAAGGTCTCTGCATTGCCTAACACGATCGCACAGAGGAGCTCCAGGATGCGGATCACTAGATCCTTTCCATCTAGAGGGAGGCTCCGCTTCTCCTGAGGGAGCTGCCAGTACTTGGTGAAGCTGTCCAGGAGCTGGCACAAACTGAAGAGGATGGGGAATGGGGAACAGGTCTGGAGCCAGTATTCCTCTAAGCCTGCATCGGCTTCAATGGTCTGGATGAAGATCTTCAGACTGAGGTCTACCACTTCAACATCCAGCATCAGGAAAGGCAGGACAAATTCCCTCAGCACCTCGTCAGGTTCCAGAAGTGCAGCGACTGGGATCCCCTGGGGCTTCACAGGACTCATCAGGCAGCTCAGGAGTTCTAAAAATTGCTTTTCTTCCTTGGGTGTAGAAAACTTTGTCCAGACGGTTTCTTTGAGGCATGACACCACGAAAGTGGTGGATGAATTTGGCCCTTGCTCTTCTGTGAACCTAAGGGCTGGGAAGGCGGTGAGAATCTGAGCCAGGAACCTGTGGGTACCAAGGTTGATCACAGCCATGCTGCACATCTTCTTTACCGTGACTTCAGGGTGTAGTATTACCAGACGGGCCACGGAGGCCACAGCTTTAGCCAAGCCCTGCTCCGAAGTACTCTGTGTGAGCTGGTTAAATGTCGTATTGAGGTCTTCCTGAAAACCCTCCAAGTAATCTAGCAATCTTTCAGAGAGGCCCTTTCGTCCCCAGCAGTGCAG